GTGGCCCGTGGTATCTTTCTAGCATTCTTTTGTATCCTACTTGAAGTTACCATCATTCACGGCTGAGCTTGTATTTGTCGTAGTATGTACTCACGCCAGTCTTTTTTTCTCTACCGTGTTATATTTGAAGCGTGTCGAAGCAGCCGCAAATCATGTTCTAATGAATTACGATCGCATCATGAACTTACCTGATGTACGCGTAGGTAAGCCATTGAAGATCATTTCATTTTTCCGCGTTTAACTTTACGATTTGAGATATTGAACCTGCTGAAGGCGCTTCGGCCGAAGATCAAGCTCCGCACAACACATCGACAGATGGTCACGAGCAAGGTAGCTAAGCTTTTTAGAGTTCTGATCTTTCAAAGAAGGGCAGAAAGATGCTTATTTGTAGCTGCGGTGCGATCATCTCAATCAGTACGTGAAGCAGCTGATAGGTTACGTGGTGAGTACGCTCGACTTCAGCAGACCATCAACCAGAACGAAGATGCTCAAACTGTAAGCTTTTAGTAGCCTTGATTAGTAGAGCGAAACTCGCACGTTGAAAGATTATTGGGAGCGGACATGCACACTACTGTCCGTTCTTGTATCATTTCTAAACCACTACTTTAATGTATTTAGTGTTGTATAAAAGTATGTATGGTGAGCTTATGTTCTTGGAGGTGCGTTTTCAAATCTCTGTTTCATACATTTCAGTTATGCACAATGGTCACGGCTATTGTGCCCTTCATTCTCATTTTTGTTCTAAAAATGGTATTTGATAATTTTCTGTCTATTTTTCGAGTTGTTACTGCTGTGGGAAGTTTTATAACTGTTGATTCGAGAGTACAACAACTATTTTCGGCAGGTTAGAATGTACTTCTCATAATCATTCCATTCCAATTCTCAGTGTTCAGCTCGACCGTCAAAGAGCTTACGTATCACTTCCGTGCTGGTATTTGTTGTCTTGTTCTATTTTACTTCGGGTTTATATATCTATGATGATGGCTTTGAATTGGCTAATGCACTCCTTCTTCGATATGCGGTGAGGCTTTGTTGAAGATTATGCAGTAGATTGGTAATTTTTCAAATGTTTCCACTGTTTTCAAGTTTCAGTAAA